GTGTATAACAATGCTTAAAAACAATTGAAACAATAGAAAGTGACAAATATATATATATATATATATATACACATACAAGCACGCGCACACACATATCTGTATATAGATATACGAATATATATACATATACAAATACACCCAAATAAATGCATATATAGACATATACAAACAGATGTGCGCACACGCACGCATATACATGTATGAATATATATGCATTATAGTTTTAAAAGAATAGATACATAATGTACTGTATAAAACTTCTTAAGAAAGTATAAAACTAAAACGGGAAATATTACAAAAAGCTAAAACGTTCATTTATCCCATCGGGGTGGAAAGTTCCCAGGTCAAAAATTATTTTGTTTTCTTGTACTTCGCGGTTATGTTTGTTTGTAAGACGCCTACTTCAAAACAAGAATTTTAAAACGGCCGAGGATATGGTTGTGCAAATTAAAGTGTTGGGCCACTGGTTTATCTGTGTTACAATTTATTATGTCTCTGAGATGTTCTCGAGTACGTTCTGCTAATAATCTACTGATTTCTCCCGTGTATAATTTTCCACAACATGAGCAAACAATAAAATATATGACGCACTTTGATGTTCAGTTCTAAATTAGGGACAGCTATCGCAGGTGTTCCTCGAGTAGCTTTGCATGAAATTCAACCAAACAAACTGTGCCTAGAAACTGTCCTGTATATATACAACAACCATAGAATCAAACTGTATTTTTTGTTCATCTATTATCGATTGTTCATACATACGTGGCCCTGAAGTAAATTGATATCCTAATACTAAATATCTTAATATACTGAATAATTCAAAGCTATGCAAAGCTGCACGCACTTACTGGTGAGTCTAGGATTTTTTAAGGGGTTTATAGCATACCCATAAATTACAAATATATCCTTTATATGACATATTGAACGATTATGTTTAAAAATTAATGTAAAACAAGGCTTGCCTCTTTATATGTGTGTGTGTTAATGTGTATGTATATGTGTAAAGTAAATATAAAAAGTATGATTTGTATCAACATTTGTAATTATACCGCTACGTTACTAGGATGATTTTTAATTGGGTTTTCTGTAAGATTAATAACTACTTGTCCTACGCCAGCTTTAAGGACCACATGACATTTTTCTCACTTGATATAATATCGTCACCGTGAATGATATCAAAAACCAGATTTTGTGTATTATTTTACTAAATGGTTTAAATATAAACCACAATGTCATCCAAGGCCCTAATATACATCCTATTCCTTTTCTTAACTGTCCAGTCACAGTTTCTGAAATCCAAAGTATTCCTCAGATTTGCTCCCATGAAAGAACCAACAACTGGACGCACGGGAACTTTTTTCACGGTAGTCTCGTTAATCCACTGTTGTCACATGTGTGTGAAGGATGACCTCTGTATAGGGATAGGTTACAGTGCAAGTTTCCGAAAATGTCAACTGCTAAGTACAATTTCTGAAAGTGGTTTTATAGACAACGTATACTACGACGTGTGGGTGAATAAGGTAAGTAATTTCATTGTTAGGCTTCCTATGACTTATGTTAAAATATATACGTTCTTCTGATACATTCTTTTTTATTTAAATAACAGGCGAAAACATTGCTATAAGACATATATTTTCGTGCCTCTTTTGTCGATTCTATAATATTTATTATCATAATATTCCTTTTTTTTCATTATATCTAACTCTTTTTCCTTTCAAACGAAAAAATATCGAAAGCGTTTTATTTACTTTCTAAATCAGAATACACATACAATCTATATTTTCAGTTTATCGAAAAAACAAAGCGTAAACTCTGGTTCATTATTTACAACAGTCTTTTGCCGTGAAATATACTTTAAATGGTCTTTCTGATAATACATTATATCTTTCCAACTTAATATTCACTACCATATCAATCTCTATAACAAAATCATCCACGTACAAAATTTTCCGATATTATAACAAATAATGATTAGTTCAGAAATCTAGATAATGTGAGCTTCCCAAAGACTTTAAATTTATCAGAAATGCATCTGTTCCGACAGAGTATTTTCAAACTTAATTTACAGTGATACCAATATTACCATCTCTAATGTTAGCTCTCAGTATTTACTAAAATACTTGGTAAGCTAAACTAAATTTACAGAACGATATAGTTATCTTTTTTTTTAGGGTTAGTTAGAGTTATGAAAATTCTGATAACAGTTATAAGAAATAAAAATAGGATTTAAACTAATCAGAGAAAAGCATGACATAACTTCATATATTGTGTTCTGAGATCAAGGCCTTTATCGTTCACATATTGTGTTCTGAAATCAAGGCCTTTATTACAGATAATGGTTGGAAGCAGTTAAATAAAATGACGCTCTCCTAACGCCATTCTAAGTGATAATAGTAATATAATTTTAATATGATTACAAAGTGCAGGCCATCAACACTTTATCACGTACGTTCTCACTTTATATGCTAAATTAAGCCATCAAGATTATCCAGTTATACACAGATCGCAACTCGTCAGCCTTCATTAAAAAAATTCGTTGATTAGATCACTATAGATGATTCTGTAAGTGATATAGTTTTCTATTTAAATCATGTTGACATCTTTACCAAGCCCCTTTCTGAAAAGTTTTGAAAAGTGTTTAGTTCTGAAACTATTCCATTTCATTACAACAACAGCTAAAAAAACGTGTAATGTAATTCATGCGTTTCGATTGTGAAGTGTTTGGTGATGCGTCTAGTTAAGGGATTACAGTGTGTTAAGAGATAGACAACTCAGTCCTTCGGGCAACTCCAATCCGTCTTAACTTAAGAGTTCAGGAACAGGTCGATTTTGTTTTTCATATTACATAATAATATGGTAGAATAGAATTTATCATTAGAATTATCGTTTAGTTGATCAGGACAAAGTCGCTCAGAGTGATGACGTCACTTTAGCTTCACACTTCACTAGGTGATCAGAAAGAGCCTTTCACACCAATAGCTCATCAAGAGCCTTTAAGAACAACACTTCTCAATAGGTGATAAGTGAGGGCCTTTCAGAACAATACTTATCAATAGTTGATCAGTGAGAGCCTTTCAGAATAATACTTCTCAATAGCTTGATCAGTGAGAGCCTTTCAGAACAATTCCCCTCCACTAAATTACCTCCTGTTTTTACAAAAGAAACGGCCTGGCATGGCCTAATGATTAGGGAATTTGATTCGCCACCGAACATGCTTGCTCTCTCAGCTGTGGAGCTTTATAATGTTGCGGTTAATCCCACTATTCGTTGGTAAAAGAGTAGCCCAAAAGTTGGGGTTGAGTATTTAATAGTTTCTGAGACAGGAGTCTGAACTTCACTTAATTACACTTTGAACTCGAATTACATTAGATGATTATGTGCAATTGCCAAAAGTTCATTTGAGATTAGTTTTAACTTTTTTTTCAAATTCAAATCACCTTATGACTATCCCAGAAAACAGCCACGTAATTTATTTACATGCAACAGTAATTTATTTGTTTATTTTATTTTCCTAACTCATTCCATTCTATTGTAGAGTAGTTTTGTGTTCTTCGAGTAATTTATTTACATGCAACAGTAATTTATTTGTTTATTTTATTTTCCTAACTCATTCCATTCTATTGTAGAGTAGTTTTGTGTTCTTCGAGTAATTTATTTACATGCAACAGTAATTTATTTGTTTGTTTTATTTTCTAACTCATTCCATTCTATTGTAGAGTAGTTTTGTGTTCTTCGAGTAATTTATTTACATGCAACAGTAATTTATTTGTTTGTTTTATTTTCTAACTCATTCCATTCTATTGTAGAGTTGTTTTGTATTCTTCGTAAGATTCTTAACGTTTAGTTAAATGTTGATGATTAAAAGGTTGTAAGAATATAACACTTCGTTATTGATCTTAAAAACTGGGGTTCACACTTGCAGTGTTACTATGCCTAAAATCTGACTCTATTTGTTTAATAAAGGTATAACACAATTTCTAGCTTCCAGCCAAGAAGCCGCATGCGTGACTATCTGCTGAGTCTACCGGGGGCTTTGAACCCCGGAGTTTAGTGTTGTAAGTCTACAGACTTTCCTTTATCCCACCGGGAAGACATTTACGAAGTGAATATCTTAACCTCGGTATTTTCTGTATGCTTCATTTATTGCTTATTTACAGCTCTCTTGCACAGAAAATCCGTGCAAAAACGGAGCAACTTGCCTCGATGATTCTTCAGGCCTCTACAAGTGCATCTGTTTGTTTGGTTTTACAGGTTACAACTGCGAAACACGTAAGTTTGTTTTCATTTATTCACAGTTTTCCTCAAAATTCACCCTACATAAGGAATTTGAAACGATCTATCAGAAATAAAATTCATATAAATTGTATAGCTTATCCTGCAAAGTCTTGAAACGCTTGTTATTTTACATCTAAATATTTCAATTCATCTTGTTTTGTGGTCATAAAATAGCTTATGTAACCTTCTTTGCTTTCTAACGATTATCGGCAACAGAAAAATAATTATATTTAACAGTATTTTATATTATTCTTTGAATAATTTTTTGCCTATAGACACGAAAAATGAAAACCAATGCTATGTTCTTTTAGACAAATGTTAGATAAAAAGTAATATCACAAGTACGTCACAGATACTATAAATTAAATTGAGTCGTTCTGTGTTTAGTAAATCTAAGGTAGGGTAAATTAATTCTAATTTTGGACTACTCTTATATAGTTAAAGAACAATTTAACATGAAATATTACACACACTTATGTTTTTGTAGTTTTTATATAAACTTTATTCATAGTTCAAAAAACCGATTCGCGAGAGAAAAAAAAACACTTGTTTATTGCTATATTTCATTTGAATCTGTTTATGTCAATTGTACATGGGTATAAGATATGAAGAATGCACTAAGAAAATAGTTGATGTGTCTTCTAGCCATCAAGGTATCGCCCTCTAAACATGTGACCTCTGCTAAGGTGTTTATTACTTCTTTTTTTCAGAGCAATAAACGTGACCAAAAAGCGCTAGAGAGAGGCAATGGAAGGATATATTAGATATATATTGTATTTTGTTTTGAATTAAAAACATGCAAAATTTTACTAATGTGAGCAAGAAAATAAATCATGTTTAAAACCAAAGTTTTTGGAGGCATTATTAGCTACTGGGGTTCTATGATAGAGAAACAGTACTGACCAAATAAATAAATGAGATATGCATTAGATCTCAACAGTACAATGTTTAGCAGTCGTTTTATGTAAGCTATGATGCAAAGAGACATCTGATCTAATTTGCTGGTCTCTGCAGTCGTTTTATCTAAGCTATGATGCAAAGAGACATGTGATTTAATTTGCTGGTCTCTGCAGTCGTTTTATCTAAGCTATGATGCAAAGAGACATGTGATTTAATTTGCTGGTCTCTGCAG